ACATGTAAGATTATTGTTATTTTATAAGTTATTTCTTTTTTCTAATTCAATTTAAACATCTCAAAACTTTTTTAACACCTCAAAACCTTTTGTTTTCCTTGATTTATAGAAAGTTCCAACTGATTTTACTCCATTACTCAAGGATATTGTTCCAGTCGAAAATATTTACTCGTATAAAGGAACTCTTCCTGAATTGGATACGGTTAGTATACATCGCGCTTTTGTCACTGCTCATACTGTTAGAGTTACGGGTGTCAGAACTAGAGGAAACAGTGAATCTTTCAGTCCAACTTCATCTTCAATACACCCTTCGGATGATGACGAAGACACCTTTCTTCTAAAAATCACAAAAGCCGGTAGATTGGGTCGTAAAACGGATATGATAGAAGGTGGAAAAACGACCGGGTTTGCGCGAAGTTGGAAACAATTTGGTGTTGTCCTGAGTGGAAGCCAATTAATGTTTTTCAAAGATGACGCATGGTTCAATAATAATATACCAAATTTAAATTATCCAATGGTAAAAGTTATTAATTTTATCATAATATTTTGTATATTTTGTAGATATGAATATTTTTATTCATTTATTTTTATTTTTATGAATTATAGAAATCTACCGTGATTCCAACGCTAAAACCTGATGTAATCATAATGACCGTTGATTCAGTCGCTGTATATGACAAAAGCTACAAAAAATATCCAAATGTGTTTCGTCTTGTATGTCCTCAGGGCTGCCAATATCTTTTTCAGGCAGAAAGTGAGTCAGAAATGAATGATTGGATTGTAAAAATAAATTATGCTGCCACTTTCAAGACTATTGGTTTAAAAATGAGACACACTTGGAATGGTAATTTAGAAAAAGACGAAGAAATGCGAAGAAGAGAAAAGAAAAATAATCGAAAGCAACATTATAACTTTCAAAAAGAAGAAAATAGTTCAAATGATGTGCATCGTAGGGCTGATGTTCTTAGGGTATGTATATATTCTACTTTTAAAGTTTACCCTATTGTCACAAAATAATGCTCAAGACTAAAGATGCTGGTGAAATTATTTTCACAAAATTTTATCACACTAGTTTAATTTTACCAGCATCTTTACTCAAGATGTTATCTCAGGACATAGTTTTTTGAAGAGAATTAATAATTTAGTTAAAACTTTTTTAAATTAATAAAATTAATAATTAATTTAGTTAAAGTTTTTTTAAACATTAATGTTCATTATAATTTTTATTTATCATAATAATAATGTTAAATTATATAATGAACATTATGTTTAAAAGGTTTTGATTAAATTAGATATTATTTCTCTTTAAACATTTATGTTTCGAAAGATGTTATTTCACGATAACATGACATTAATTTTCTCTTTGATTATGTAAATTTAGTCAAAAATTGAGGAACTTCAAGGAAAAATTGCGACACTTACATCTCAACTCCAGACGGACGTTCGATTTGGCAATAATCTTGCCCTCATGATACCATATAAAGCAACTACTCGAGATCGGATCATTCAAGTTGCTACTGTTGTAGGCAGGCGAATCAAAAATATTTGCCTTGAGCTTAGTCGACTAGTTTGTTATCATGAAATAATGGAAAAAGAATTGTGTTCAACGATAATGGAAGATAATACTTATTGGCAAAAGAGAAAGAGTATGCATAGAAGTGATGAAAGCCGTGCTTATCGAAAACATTCAAATATAGGGAATTATTTCCATAGCATTACAGAAGGACATAATAAGGAAATAAATAACAGACCTGTCACTATGAATGTACCATCAATATCATCACCTACACAGTCAGAATTATCTCTCCAAACTACTAATCCTTTAAGTACGCCAACCACACCAGATTCGACTATAGATGGTGGATCTTTACGATTGCCAGAGTTTGAGTTTGAAATTATTGGATCTCAAGATATAGATGATTTCGGAGATATAACTAAATCCAATTTTAGAGATGATACGTCTAGCATTATGGATTATGTATGTGATGACTTTACAGAACCAAATACAGAGAATATGGAAGACTATAACCAATTTGATATGGTTGAAAAACCTAAAGATTCGTTTAAGCAAATAGATTCAAATATACAGACTCCATCAGTAATTATAAATTATTCATCTTCTGATCAAGATGATGATGATGAATTTGTTGATGCCGAAGAGAATCTTACTGATTAAGATGAATGATGTAATATATAACTAATGATGTTTCTTATAATCGAAAAACTTGTTTAATTTTATGGATTTTTAATTATAGATTTTAAATATTCATTATACTGTTATATAGAAATTATTTAGAAATATCATTGTAACTTTCAACCTTTTTGCATCATTTTTTATTATAGTTACTTTCGCATGTAAAATATTGTCATTTTGTTCATATAGTTCTGGCGATTGATATATATAAGATTAGAAGATATGTTAAATAAAACATTATTGTTATATAAGTTTCAAATACATTTAATTTATCATGATTATAATGATGAATAATTAATATTGACTCGCCTCACCTTTAAGATTTAAAAATAATTAATATTGACAAAAATAACGATAATGTTTATTTTAAACAATGGTTTATAAAGAGCAAGTACCGGACAAGTACCGGGGGATATAATATAATGATAACATTTATGATTTAGATATTATCAACCCTCATAAAACTGATATATCACCAAGTCGCAAAGGTCATTATATTTTTCTCTTGTTTTCACAAAAGTTCCAAAAAGGATGTAGCTATAATAAGGAAGTTTGATAACATGTTACCTGCTTCAGGAAGAAACGTATTCAATGTTTTAAATACCAAGTTAGGCCGCACAAAATTATACAATTGGTTTTCATGGGACAATAATCTGTGACCCGACCGCACGGCTTTTTTTAAGTAAAAAAATTTTTTTAAATAAGCCGTTAACATAACAGTCTAGATTTGAATTTTTTTTTTTAAATAAAAATTATCGCTCTTTTCAAATTAGACTACACAAACTTATATTATCAGTTTTCATATCGCCGACTACTGTAACTTTTAGTTGATCCGGCTATCTGGGTTTTAATTTTCTTTAAAAAAATTTTCTAATAAAGATTTTTATTTAAGAATTTTATTGTCACTACTCAAATACCCGATAAAAAAATTTATATAAAAACTTGGCAATGAGAGGTGATCTATCGCTTCACAAAATTGTAAGTATTTTGCGTGACGTATCGTGCTTAAACCAGTGTTACACTTGAACTTCACCTCTTTATAGAAGTTCAAGGAACGTAGTAGTTATAGTATGAAGACTATAACCCTGTGATTTGGTTAGATAGGGGCGTCAATTTAAGACTTAACAAAGAGGTTTGATTTAGGTTTTAACAAAAGAGGCAACAACTATATGTATATGAAGATACAAATAGTTGTAATAATTATAAGATATAATATTTGTATAGGTTTTATTCAATAAGTAAGTATTGATCATGAAGTTTCTTCATGATAATCATGTGATCAAGATCATTATGTTACTTAATGATATAAATTAATTTATTGTGTATGAGAATACAATTATTTATTATAATAAATTTTTTTTTTTTTTTTTTTTTTAATATCAAAGTGATTTTATGGTTGGTTGCCTTTATTAGTTTATGTGCTAAGCTAATCGAAGTTAGCTACTACATGGTTTTAGAAAGTATAACTAGCCATACGTACAATTTTTGATTGCCTATTTAAGTAGTCTGCCCAAAGGTTTTATACTAGATGTCATACCTATAATCCAACTAGAAGATTACTTATTTAAACCCTCTGTGCCGTCATATCCTTATGAGAAACCAATACCTGCCATAGGAAGCACCTAACCTAGGGCTAATTGACCCTTGAGGTAAACTTGCTAGAGCTTTCCATACCCACAATCTGGCTAACCTAAACTTCGGTAACTTACACCGAGTCCGAAGACAGCAACTTGCGAGCTGAGACCGGTCACTATTATTACCTACTTCAGCCCTTGTAGAGTTTACCCAGACCCCAGTACACACTTTACAGACTATCATTAGTTTTAATCCTAACAATTTCAAAC